ACTGGCCCGGCACGTCCCCGCCTCTAAGGGCCGCCTCTCCTGTACCGAAGGAGCCTGGGGCTCTGGTGCGGTGGAGAGCACGGTTTGGGTGGCCTTGGAAATGTAGGACAGTGCCCGGAAGCCAGAGGAGTTCTGAAGTTCAGGGGAAAGGACCAAGTGCTGTAACAGCATCCCAAAGTGGGTCATCGACAGACACTGGAAGACATTTGCATCTTATTTAGGAAATGGAGCCAAGACATCGCCCTGGAGGACAAGGTGTGCTGACACCGGAGGGTCAAGGAGCTCGGAGCTCGGTGCACTGTCCGTCTTAATACATGCCGCGGAAGCCTGAGCTCATCGGTAGGCGATGGTTTCTTTTCCTGTTTCCGTCGTAGAATACATGAGCATTGCTGGACTTTGGGAGCACTGTGCTTTAACGAGACATGGACACGAATAAAGAATAAAGCAGACACTCGGACACAGGAGTATGGACGCCTGTCTTGACTTCCGCCGCCGTCCACAAGCCCAACAGCACACCGCGTGCATCGAGGTGCACAGCCGACGATCACGCCCATAACCAACTCTTCCACACTCACACACTCAAAGCTCGGGCCACTCACTATTGCCTCAGAGCTGACAGGAAAGCACCTGACAAAACAGATCGACGCACCTTAGAAACGTAGGAAGTCTGTCCTTGCTAATGATTGCGGAAATAGGAGAGCAACCTTTTAATAGGAAGATGACAGCCACTTTCGATTCCGGACGTTTTCCTTAATGATAAAAAATAACCCTGGTTATTTTTTTCAGCAAGCCAACGTATATTTGCAACGTAAACCTGCTGACTGAAACAGACACGGATCGGGGGGAGGAAGGCAGGCGTGTTGAACAGGAATGAGAATCTCCGCTTCTATTGGAGACATTAATCTTACGTGTTTTTGAAAGGCTCTCCACAGGATTAGCCACATCCAAATGGAATGTCCAGAGCCAAGAGAAGTAATGCGAACCGGACATGGTTTATGCTACGGCCATTTATAATGGCAGTCCTGTTAGCCGTGATTATTCAGGGCCCCACGCATAACGTCTAATGAACAAAATGGTGACTATTTTAGGCTCATCCTTCTACCCACATAAACCAGTCCTTTCCAGAGGCCAATAGCTTACCATCGCTTCCCATAATTGGGAACCAGGCAAAGAAGTCCCCACCACCCAGTCTACTTCTTGAGATTTTCAGATGTTCTCCTTTAGGCCATGTTTATCACCTCCTGTGTTGCTCCTCTAAGTCACTAGTCGTTTGCAAGGGGTGCAGAGCGGAGTGCGTGTGGGTGAAGAGATCGTTTGAGCGTCCTTCAGGAGCGTGACTACCTGGCAAACATTGCTCTCCAGACATAAAAGGGTCCCCTTGCCCTTGAGCGGGCGTGTGGGTGGATATAGTTCAGCCAGGAATTTGTCTCCTTAACCCCATCGCCTCGTCTGAGGCCAGCGTGAAACTCCAAACATACTTAAACTGTTGCTGTATGTTGACCCTTTGACAGATGTTTTCCACTTTGGGGGGACGGTGGTGGGCTTGTGAAATCCCTAAAATAACATTTAGTGGATAGAAGCCTCCCAGTATAGGAAGCCCCTGTTGTTTCATTCCCAAATTATTGCTCAGCACCAGAGGCTCATTTATACCATTGAGGACACCTAGGAGAGCAATTACCTAATCTTCTCTCTAGAGGAGAAAGCGAGGCCATCATAAGAAAAGACTCCTGACCTCCCTCACCCTACAGAGCTTTTATGAGAAGAAAACTGTATTTACTTTCCATCATTTGCTTTGGTTTGAAAATCCTTTCGTACTTTAACAGAAATTAATCATCTGGTTTCTTTAGCTTTGTGCCACTAAAAACCATCCAACTTTCTCAAATTCCCTTCCTCAAAACATTCTAAAGGGCATGGAATAGTTTCTGAGAGCCATTCACTTCTCTCACCATCTTACCAAGAAGCCTCCTCACAGCGCATTGGCAAGAGCTCACTGAACTCAGTACCTCCCAAGATGGCCCGTTTTATTCCTGTGCATCTCCTCGGGCAAGAACGCTTTTCAGGCAAGAATACCACGGACCTGTCTGCCTTCCCTTTCACACTCAAAAACTGTAGCCTCTGATTTCACACTTAAAAATTCTTGGCCTCGGCACATGGCAGCAATCCCCTCAAAGTAAAAAATAAAGACCTCCCCTTTCTTTTTCTGCCCGGAGCTTTCCCTGATGGCTTTCTGACAGATCGCATCCCAGCACTCAAATTTTAGAAGATGTTTAAGGCTCCCATGAGGAAACTTCCATTACATTTCGAAAGTCTCGGAGTTCATCGAAACCTGGCCAGACAGGTGGTTATAGTCCCATGGGAGGTCCAGAGTCCTGAGCACTTCTGTCCATAGCTACTAGCTGATATTAATAAAAAACACTTTCGCTACTTACTAGACCTTAATGCAAAAAAATCTGCAAAGGAAATACAGTGGCAGTAGCATTTAAGGAATTGCTTTAAGGGGGGAAAATGGATCCATTCCAGTTGGGTGATGCAAAGAGAAGTGTGTATTTCCCTGCAGACTCCAGTATGCAATACCCCATCCCCATTGTCTATGAGAGGGGACAAAGTTGTGCCCAAGATGGGGTCTACCGGGGCCAGGATGGGACTTGCTCTTCAGAAACCACTTGATTTTGAAAAATGGTGCAAAACCAAAGTAGGAGGCAGAACGGAGAGCACAGTCTGGCCCATAAAAATACCTGCAACTTTCTGGAATTACACTGGGGCATTCCCTCAGAGCAAAGAGGGAACTCTACATCTTACAACCCAGAAGTATGCAGAATGTCAGAGCTCCTTATAATGGAGGTTTACTGTTAGTGGTGTGTACACAGTCCACTTCCCTAGTGCCGAGAAAAGGAAATTAGAACCAGGAATCACAAGATAGAGACTGCCATGCCTAGATCAGGGCTTGGTTTATATCACAGATGTCCTCTATCAGATGATACATTGTGTCCAAAATGTCCGATGGCATTTTGAGATAATGCAACTGCTGCAGGCATGGCTGGAAAACCACTAACTCTTCCTTCTTCCAAGACTCATCCTTCCAGCCTCTTTCTGACAGCAGGTGGCACTTCCCCACTTACCACCTCTGTCCCTGTGGCCCACATCCACACACCTGAACGCGTTGTTTCCACACTGAATTTAAGAAATCGGGGATTCCCTCAGCTATTGCAGTATCATTTTTCTAGTGTATGCTTTTATGTGAAGACCTGTTCAAAAGACCTATGGGATTATAAATTATTTGTATGTTTTCCTCTCACATTTTAAGGAATTATAAACCCTTATAAATAAAGTACTGATGGGGGTGTCTGGTGGCTCAGTTGCTTGGGCATCCGACTCTTGATCGTGGCTCAGGTCTTGATCTCAGGGTTGTGAGTTCAGTCACCCTCCCCCGCATTGAGAGCATGCAGCCCACTTAAATTAAATAAATATATAATAGATAAATAAATAAGTGATGACAGCAAATAAATTACTCAGCTGTCTAGACTTACATCTGACTTTCACATGTATCCCATTTTACTGCCATGGAGTCACCTTTGATCAAAGAATAGTTTCACTTTGATCAAACTGATGCGAAGTTATGAGTAAAATTTCAACACCAAACAGACATCGGCCAGGCACTCACCGTTTGGTGCTGATGTCAGATCGATTCCGCCAACTCCTTGTGATTTTACAATTTCTTCTTAAAAAAACATTTTCAGATTAAACATAGCATAATTTTGAAGACATAGGATCTGGAGTCCGATAGAAAGTGGGTTTGAATTCTGGATTTTTAATTTACTTCCATTACTAATTATCATTTGTATGCAAAGCATGACTTACAGTTACCTCCTAGGTGTGTCCTGAGAATTTACCTGGGGGGAAGGGTCCGAACAGTGCTTAGGACAAAGTTGACAAACACTAGGTACTGTTCTTCCTCTTGTTGGCAAGGGTTCCTGAGCTCTTAGCGGACATTTAACTGTAAACCATCGCGTTTCTAGGTAGGACAGAGTTGACGAAATCTTTCCCGAGTATCATTAAGCCAGAAACAGACAAACAGCAGCCCTTGGTGCCTAGGATCTGGGGACTACCCGAATCACAGTGATCTGAACTGTAGATGGGTGCTTTCCTTTTTGTTTTCTTTGGATTCAGGTGCAGTTTATTTCCTTATAATAGAAAACGATCTTTTCTGCGATTATTTTTTTTTCCAAAATAGCTCTCAAAAACAGAGATAAATGGAGTCTTAATCGTTCCACACTTTGTCAGAGTAACTAAACATTAACACGCATTCACGTGCATCGGGCAATATCTAAGGTCCGGGTTGGGGTTTTGATGAGGTTTCCTTCCTGCCCTCCGAAACACACCAACGCATGTTAGGTCTGACCGAGTTTGGGTGCTTCCGGGCTTTGGGGCGATGAGGTTTTCAGTGCACTCGTGAGTCTTCAATGTAGTGCCCACTGCTCCTGGCTCTGTGTGCCGGAGCCCAAGCCCTTGCTGGCCGGGCTGGTCTGCACCACGCGCTGGCTCTGGTGGCAGGGGACTCAGCGCCATCTAGTGTCCACTGGCAGCATAGCTAGACCGACTTCCTGCTCGGAACGGACTCCCCTTGCACACTATGGCCGCAAGGGACCACAGATTTGATTACGGTGTTTTGTTTTGTTTTTTACTTTCTGTATCACTGGGTGTTGAAACTCCAGGTGAGGATGAACTCCGTTGTTTTTCAAAGGAGCTACATCAACTCCAATGCCGTGTCCCCCTTCCCATTCCCTCAAGGCTCCGTCCAACCATGTTGTGCTCTGTTGCAGACTTCTGTTGCTCTGTCGTCACCCCCTGCAGCTGGCGTTGTGTAAAAGAGCTTTCTGGAAAGGAGAGGTTCCTTAGGATCCACTTGGCACCATAGCATGCTTCTCCTGGTACAGCACGTCCTGTGTTAGAGACAGAACTCTTGTCATCCCTCCCGATTTTTGATTCTTCTCTTTTTTCAGATTGTCTACAAAGCCTGGCTGTGTTCCCAGTACTTTGAAGTCGCTCAGTTTAACTGCAGAAAGACAATTCCTTGCAAGCAATACTGTTTGGAGGTTCAGACGAGGTGTCCGTTTATTTTACCCGACAACGATGAAGTCATCTACGGGGGACTCTCCAGCTTCATCTGTACAGGTACAGTGGGTGGTGGGGTCTGGCCCACAGCCTCTCCCACTGCTCTGCTTTCCTGGGGGACGCTGGTTGGCTTTGTTGTTTCCTTCTACGGATCGATGTAACCTTGAAGATAACGCCTGGTAGTTTTCCACGCTTTCCTCAGAACTTGGTGGGGAGAGATCACGTTATCTACAGAGTGCCCATGACCCACAACATTAGCTTTGCAAAAGGATGATTCTGGGGAAAAATGTTAGCAATCATGAGGGATGTTTGAATCTGACTTACAGTAGTCAGATGCTGTGTACATCGTGGCATTACATAAGAACAGAGGACGTGACAAGGCCAGTTAAATTATGCCGCTTCTTCACATGGGGCTGTTTTTCTGAGAAGTTTCGTGTCACTTCACCTTAAATAAGTGTCAAGAGCATAAAGAACCATCTACGTAAGTTATGTGTTTATGTGTGTATGCGTGTGTTAGAGATGCACAACAAGGGCTAGATACAATTTTATCTTATAGTCCCCATAACGACGTTTGCTTCTTTCAGCAAATGACTCAAACTGGGCCGAACACCAATATCAGTGTTCGATTTCTGGATATTCACAAGCATTACATAATTTAGACACAAAATAAAATGTAAAGAATGAGAGTAATTTTTTAAAGATTTTATTTATTTATTTGACAGAGAGAGAGAGAGCAAGTAGGCAGAGAGGCAGGCAGGGGAGGGGGAAACAGGCTCCCCGCTGAGCAGAGAGCCCGAAGTGGGACTTGATCCCAGGACCCTGAGATCATGACCCGAGCAGAAGGCAGAGGCTTAACCCACTGAGCCACCCAGGCACCCCAAGAGTAATTTTTGTTTTGTTTTGTTTTACTAAATGGTGAGAATGGTGAGTAGACAAGTGAGAACAAGACCCTTTGCCATGGTGACATGATAATCAGAGTCGTTGCTCTAACTATCCCAGTACAGAAAGTGCTGGGTGGTCCTTCCCACTAGATGGCTTCAGTTGCGGCAGGGCTAATTTTCAGGTTTTAAGGATAAAATGCTACCGTATGTATCGAGAAACATGAAAGACTCCTTCATGCAGTAAACTTTGTGAAACCCCCTAAAAGGGTACCATATTGAGATGGTCAACATGAGAGTATATCAAATTAGTTCTAGATCCTGTATTCATACACCTCTCCACCAGCCATACTGTTCTAAGTCTATGTGATAAGACTTAGAGTCAAGAGACAGTTAACCACATTTCTCCCTTAAGAATCTGCCTTAAGAACTGACTCTTTCCTGTGCTACACGGTCTTGTGGGAAGAAGATCTAAGTGAAGTCTAAAGATATGGGCTTTTGTCCTATTTGCATTAAATACTTTCTCTCTGAGCCATCAGACAGCTCGTCATTAGTAAATTAGTAATAGCAAATACCCCCCAGGTGTGTTTGCTTTGCAGATTATGGATAAGAGAAAAGCATGAGATACGTCATCAAATGGCAAGGGCCATTGTATGTAAGAAAGTGATTTGTAGAATGTAAATGAATTTACCAACCTTTTTTTGTTATTCATTGAGACCACCTTCCAGCTCCTCTCTGATGGGAAGACATGGCAAGAGTGAGAGAGAGAAGAGGGAAAGAGACAGAAAATGAAAGGGGAAAGAGGAACGAAAGGAAGAAGGAGAAAAGGAGAGAAGGAAGGAAATAAATTAGTATCACTCCTTTAAATTTGAGCTGAAATTCATCAGACACAACCTGTTAATTTTCTTGACATTCACAAAAATCTTTCCATAAATGGTCATTAAGATAAGGTCCTCTGCTCGACATCGCGGTCCAGCAGGTGTCCATGATTTTGACCTCAGAGAAACTTGTGGCATTTCATGTAAAGGTTGTATGTTTGGTCATTCACAGGTAACTAGATTTTTTTTCCTAGAGAAAGTCAGGAGCTTTCCCCAGGTTCTCAAAGTAGACAACAACCTCAAAACCTCAAATGAAGGACTAGATTGTTGAGGTTTTGAGGTTGTTGTGTACTTTGTTTGAATATTCATTCTTCTTCCTTGTACACTTTCAAAGTCATCAGAAAGCTAAAGATGGATTATAATCTCTTCCTGCAAAACATGGGCAGAAGGTCCACCATATATATATGTGTATATATATATATATATATTTTTTTTTTAATTGAGGTATCATGACACACAATGTTACATTGGTTTCAGGTGTACAACATAGTGATTCAACAAGTTTATACACTAGGCTCTGCTCACCACAAGAGTAGCTGCCACCCATCACCACATAACACTATTACAATGTCATCGACTCTATTCTTGTGCCTTGTTCCTGTGACTTACTCATTTCGTAACTGAAGGTCTGTACTTCCCACTCTCCTTCACCCATTTCGTTCATCCCCCGACACCCTTCCCCTCTGGCAGTTCATTCTCCGTATTTATGGGTCAGTTTTTGCTTTTGTTTGTTCATCTGGTTGGTTGGTTGGTTGGTTTTTTAGATCCCAAATGTAAGTGAAATCATATGGTATTTGTCTTCCCCTTCATGATCTTAATTGTCTTTGAGTTTTGGAAATTCAGCTTTTTCATAGCCATAGCTTCATCATTACAGGAAAGAGACAGGAAAAGGGAGTTGTTTCACTGGGCCCAGAGAAAATGCCGAGGAGCCTAGAAGATTTTGGGGAGAATCCCATCACTCAGTCCCCAGAACCTACCTCTTCATTCACCACTCTCCGTTGGGCTCTCCTTCCTTTCACCACTCAGCTTCTCAAAAAATGTGCAGAATAAATTCTGAAGGCATTTTACTGATACTGTACAAATTTTTTTTTTTTTTTGACAGAAAAGGTACTAATCTTCAGATTGAGCTTCTTTTCTAAGGTGTGACCAGGCCTTCTTAAAGAATTCTTCTCTCTCTTGGTAACTAGCAACCACAATGTCTCCCTCAGATGTCCTTTGAATTTTGCTGCTGGACCTGGACGAGAGAGATGTTTCTATTGATGCCGGTCACTTGCTGGCTTGTCACTTCTGACAATGGTTCCAAACATGACGCCCCAAGAATAGCATCCTTCTGGGAAGAAGTTAGCCCAGAGCACAACTCCCGGGGACCACGGGTCAAACCTAGGGACCCAAGGGGCTTGTCACACTTCTAGAAGAACTAGGTAGACTTTTATAGGTATATCATTTATTCTCGAACATTGTCACAAAGTTTTTGGTGGTTCATCTCTTACAGATAGACATGAAGATCCAAACAAGTCACCTTTTTGTGACTTGTGACTTTTGTGATGGAGTGCATATGAATCATGCCAGGTCCTTTATGCATTTTGAATGCAATATCCTCAGTACTCAGGCAGAATTAAACTAAATATAGTAGAGAAATAGATTTTTTTTTCTAGTTTCCCACCTGGCTGCCAACAACCTAAGTCCCCCTGGGATGGCAACTCTGCTATCCTGTAGCAACTCTGCATGTTCTCAAATCGTCATAGACCTGTAGGACATCTTCCTTATTGAAAAAGAGCTAAACACAGTTTTAGGAAAAGAAATTAACCAATAGGATGGCCTTAATCTTGCCTTCAGTAATTCCACCTTTTTGTTTTAATTTTTTCTCCTTCTATATAGTGAAAAATATATAATCACTTATCATCAAGAGTTGAAAGAATAGACGGACTGCCCTTAAAATTCCACGTATTTAAATATAGAAGTTTCCCACTATTGGAAGTACATCCGATGCACAGATTCCAGAAGAATAGATCTCCCCTCTAGAGTCAACCTCAAAAAAGAATTCAACAAGCACTTTCCTACAGATGGCTCGTTGCCAGATGCTGTCTGAGGGAGTCTCAATTTTGTTCAAGGTTCCTCTCCATGGTAACAAACCAGTACTGTGTGATGCCTTTTCCATAGAATCCTCTGCTTCCAGTCTTTTAGGGATGTAAGATTATAGGACATTCAGTTCTTCCTCTCATAGATGCTTTTTTACCTATAGACTGACACTCAGGATTCCTGTTATCTACAAAAAGGGCGTCTCAGCCCTTGGGTTCAGCTTTGGTGACAGTTATTAGATTCAGTGTTTAGCACATCATTGTTTGTGATGTTTACACTACTTACCCATCTCCTATATTTGAATTCAAAATATTTTTTTGTCTTGATCACCTGCTACTTCATATGTCTATGATCCTTAGTAAGCCCATCACGTATGAAAAAAACTTAAGTATCTGAGAATGCCTATCTACCAGTGCTCATTGTCTTTGAAGATTTTGCAGAAGGTCACGACCACGTGTTCTAACCACAAACGTAGATGACAAGAAGAGTACCTCCGTATATGTTAAATTTTGATTCTGTTTTAGGAGATAAAGGAAAGACACTTTGTCTGAGCTTGCTCTTGGTTTTTGGTTTTTTTTTTTTTTTCTTTTTCTTTTAAAGAATAGAACAGACACATTACTGAAGGAGTATTTGAAAAATTAATTGGGGAGAAATTCTACGCGCTATCAGGGTGAAAGCTGTCTTTTAATCTCAGGCATTATTGAGCTCAAACTTTCCAAGGTGGGTTCTGTTCTCGAGCTCCTTTCACATAATGCACAGCTATTTTAGACTCCGTTTCTTCATCTTCAAAGTGCAGGGGTGGAGTCGTTCTGGATTGCGGATGTCAGCCCCTCCCCGTGGTGATTACGCGGGCTTCCCCTGCACCCCGCCCTTCTAGAGCCCCCGGGAGAAGTCCTCAGTGCTTACCCGGAACAGCGAACCAGCACGGGGGAAACACAGGTAGCAGAGGATCTCGGGCTGTGGGCGCCATGGTAACAAACATTATGAAAATCACCGTTTGATGGATAGACGGAATCGAGTCGGCAGGATCTGCAGCTGTATTTTTCATAAATTATTGGAAGAAAGAAAGTAAAGTTGGTCGGCTGGGGGTTCCTGACCATGGAGATGAAACATATTTTGAGAAATCTCTGTAAATCCTGCATTTCGTCTATTTGGGGCTGTGACAAGAATAAGGTTATGTCTCTGTCCCGGGGGGGGGGGGCACGCACTGGGGGGCTGTTGCCGG